AATGTGGTGGAACCACATCTCTACTAAAAATGCAAAAATCAAATTACATGCCTGTAATCCCAGCTACTCGGGAGACTGAGACGGGAGAATCGCTTGAATCCAGGAGGCAGAGGTTGCAATGAGCCGAGATCCCGCCTCTGCACACCAGCCTAGGCAACCGAGTGAGACTCTGTCTCAAAAAAATAAATAAATAAATTCTAATCGGAGACCTCACTCCCTCAAGTCTCTAGGCTCAGATAATTTCCATGTGATTTTTTCCACACTGTCAGTTATGTTTGTTTGTTTGTTTTTGTTTTTGTTTTGAGACGGAGTCTTGCTCTGTCACCCACATTAGAGTGCAGTGGCACAATCTCTGCTCACTGCAACCTCCACCTCCCAGACTCAAGCGATTCTCCTGCCTCAGCCTCCTGAGTAGCTGAGATTACAGGCACCCACCACCACACCCAGCTAAGTTTTGCATTTTTAGTAGAGACGGGGCTTCACCTTGTTGGCTAGGCTGGTCTCAAACTCCTGACCTGAAGTGATCTGCCCGCCTCGGCCTCTCAAAGTGCTGGTATTACAGGCGTGAGCCACTGCACCCAGCCGGTATTTTCTGTCTTACATAAGATGTTCCAGAAAGAAAGGCAAATACGGAAAGCTGTCTAATTCATTTCATGAGAGAGCTATAACCTATATTTTAAAAGTGAATAAGGATATTGAAGGAAAGTAAATTTAAAACTTATTTGGAAAAAGTTTTCTATTTTTTTTTTGAGACAGAGTTTCACTTTGTCACCCAGGCTGGAGTGCAGTGGCACGATCTTGACTCACTGCAACCTCCACCTCCAGGATTCGAGCCATTCTCCTGCCTCAGCCTCCCGAGTAGCTGGGATTACAGGCACATGCCACCACACCCAGCTACTTGTTGTATTTTTAGTAGAGGCGGAGTTTCTCCCTGTTGGCCAGGTTAGTCTCCAACTCCTGACCTCAGGTGATCCACCAGCCTTGGCCTCCCTAAGTGCAGGGATTGTAGGCATGAGCTACCGCGCCTGACCAGCAAAAGTTCTTAATAAAATATCAGCTAGCTAAATGCAACAGTCATTAGAAAGTCATATATAATGGCCATTCTGGGAATGCCAATCACAGAAAAATCTAAGTGTAATTCACCACACTGGCAAACTAAAAGGGGGAAAAGCAAGGTTCCTAAAAAATGCAGAAAGGAATTGCAGAAAAATCGAATTAAATTTATAACAACGTATTTTGGAAAATGAAATGTGGTATGTTAAAAAACTTGCATTAAATATCAGATGTAATGGATAAACATTAGCTTCCTTCCTACTGAGAGATGAAAGAAGGTAAAACCCTCAGCAACTTAGGATTTAGAGGCACGTAGATATTTTGGTCAGTAGTAAAGACTCCAGATCCAGACTGATTAATTTAGGTTCAAAACTGGCTCAGTGGCCAATGGCTGTGTAATCTCCAACTTTCATAACCTTTCTGTGTCTTAGCTCACTCACCCATAAAATGGGATAATCGCAATATTGACTTCACAGAGTGCTATGAGTTAAATCTTCAAGCTGGATTTCACATAGGGCAAGCAATAATATTTTTATTGTTATTATATTTGAAAAATGTATTAGTTTAAAACTTAGGTAAGAAACCAAGGTCTATAGTTAAAGTGATTACAAGCCTTCATACACCCTGTTGTTCTGAAAATCTTAATTATAACAAGTCTGGGTGAGGTGGCTCATGCCCGTAATCGCAGCACTTTGGGAGGCCAAGGTGGGCAGATCATCTGAGGTCAGGAGTTCGAGACCAGCCTGGCCAACATGGCGAAACACCATCTGTACTAAAAATACAAGAAGTAACCAGGCATGGTGGCAGACACCTGTAATCCCAGGTACTTGGGAGGCTAAGACAGGAGAATCATTTGAACCCGGGAGCTGGAGGTTGCAGTGAGTGGAGATCGCACCATTGCACTCCAGCAGCCTGATAACAGAGTGAGACTCCATCTCCACAATAATAATAATAATAATAATAATTATAACCGCATATCCGTTCACTCTCCAAAGTGTCCAGTACTGGACAATTAATTGTGAGGCCCTCTTCTGTAGCACCATACACTATAGCATATATGTAATTAAAATAAATACACATAAAAAACACAAGTATATATTCTATACACTTTCCATATATTTGTATTCTGTGAGGTCACATGCAAATTGAAGGCTAGGTCAAAGAGTGGTATGGCTACCTATGGAAAGGAGAGTGGAAGTGAATCATGGTAACAAAAGGAAATAGATACAGATATACATATGAATAGATAGACATACACACATATAGCTGCAAGAAAGGGGGTTGCCATGGACCAGTGATGCCAGTGAGTCATGTAAAAAGGCTACAATTCTTGTGATTGTGTGTCCATTTGCAGGATGGGTTATAGCTTCCTTTTTTAGAAAGGCTGATGCCACAGTCATAGCAAATAAATGTTTATATTTATTTTCTCTCTCTCTCTCTCTTTTTTTTTTTAATAAATGAGTATAAAATGTGTTTCCTTTCTGGGGTATCTCTGGAGAAATCTCCAATGGTAGGAGAACTCAGTTTACTAGGCAGGTTATCACACAGATAAGATTTTACAGCTCCAATGGCCCTACCATTAACTTCATTATCCTTGGTAGTCTACAAAGGTTGAGTGAACAAATGGCATCTTGAAACTAAAATCAGCTAAACTAACAAACAAGACTGGATTACTAACTTTTTGTTTGTTTTGTTTTTTTGTTTTTTGTGTTTTTTTGTTGTTTGTTTGTTTGTTAAAGACAGAGTCTCTCTTGCCCAGACAGC